CATTGCTGATCTTCTTCATCTTCCTTATTCGAGTAATGTCATATGTTTTTTGAAGTTTCTATCATCATTGTTTAGAGGTAAGGATCTTCAATTTTGCTTCTCCCTCGTTGATTTAGTGCATTGTGTCTTTTAGTTATTGAAGTTATAATAGGTCTTTTATGTGAAGCATAGATATTTAAGTCTGCAAGTTTACTTATTTATTTGTGATTATACTGCTGATATGAGGTAAAAGTTGCTGAATTATTTTGGCCATGAAAGTTTTAGAGTAAATTAGTTGTTATACAATAATAATGGTTGACTTGTTCATATCAGACTTTTACATATGAACTGAATAAAATATGATCCAATATGAAGAAAATCTACTATAAAAAATGTTAGAGTATTTGATGTGCAAAAATAAATTTTGAGTTGTTGTTGAACGTTGAGTTATGCATTTTATTAAGCATAGCCTTATGATAAATTAGAATCATATGACTTTTAGGTGAGAATATATGAATCTTGTGTTGTACATAATGGATATTGTATTGTGCACTATTTTCCTAACTCGAGCATTTTGTTAAGCCTAGCCTACTGATAAAATAAAATCGTATGGATTTTTAGTTGAGAATATATAAATCTTGTGTTGTGCGTAGCGGATATTGTGTTGTATATTATTTACCTACGATTGTGCATTTTGTTAAACCTAACCTACTGATATAAGCCAAAGGTTGCTAAACCATTAAGTTGGCTGTGAAAGTTTTAGAGTAGATTAGTTATTATACAATAGTGATGGTTGACTTGTTCATATTGAACTTTAACATGCAAATTGAATAAAATATGACTCCCAATATGAAAAAAATCTGTTGTTAAGTATGTTGGAGTATCTGCTATGCAAAAATAAACCTTGAGTTGTTTATGTTGAACTTTAAGTTGTGTAAAATAAAAGTTGGGCTTCTAATGTGAACATTTACTTAGATCAATTTGTTCATTGCAAATTTAAGTAAAAGAAGATTTATCATTGTTTAAGATAGGGACGCCGGACACAATCACAAAACACGCAAAAATCCTAACCCAGCATAAGAAGTAATCATATTATTCCATAGGCAACCATAATTATATACATGGAAGCATTCTCAAGTAATATTTTTTAGGTAATTAGGAATGACGAATATTTTTTGTTTGTATATAGAAAAGCAACTGTTAAATATTTTGAATATAGTGGCTAACTTTTTGTATATATCAAACTTGAAATATCATGTCAAATTTCATGTGGGTACTTGTTTCAGTACTTGAACTAGTACCAATATAAAATTCATATCTGATATAATTATCCTTATTAATATTGAAAATGTTGGACTTTTTGTTAAACATTCATGGATATTGTCTTATGCATAATGGATGTGTGTGTCATACATGGTCTGCCTAACTTGTCATTTTTGTTCAGGTTACGCTAGTGAAATATCAAAATGAAAGTCCATGTGTGTCTAATTTATCAATAGGACATGCTTAATAAAATTTATAAGTTAAACAGATAATGTATAACACAATATCCATTAAGCACAACACAATGTTTATATATTCTCAATTGAAAGTCCTACGTGTCTAGTTTATCAGTAAGCTAGACTTAACAAAATGTACAAGTTAGATAAATAATGTACAATACAATATCTACTATGTACATGCAATCTTCACATATTCTCAAATAAAAGCACATGTGTGTCTAGTTTATTGGTGGGTTAAACTTGACAAAATATACAAGTTACGCAGATAATATACAACATAATATTCACTATACACAATATAATATTCACTATACATAATATAATATTCATATATTCTCAACTGAAAGTCCATACCTGTTTAATTTATTAATAGGTTAGATTTAAAAAAATATACAAGTTAGGCAAATAATGTGTTACACAATATCCACTATGTACAACACAATTTTCATATATTCTAAATTGAAAGTCCATGTGTATTTAGTTTATCAATTGGTTAGGCTTAGCAAAAAGTTTTTCAAGTTTATGAACAATAAAAAGTATATATATAACATAACAAGGTTCATTTATTAGCAACACAGTGTCCATCTATTTCATATGATTTGTGTAATTAAACTAAATATTTGAAAAAGTTTTTTAAGTTTATGAAAAATAAAAAGTTTGTATATAATATAAAAGTATTCATTTGCTAACAACACAATGTCGATATATTTACAACACAAGGTTTGTCGATATGATACACATAAATATTCGCACAAGGTAATTGCAAAGTCTGCATAGCGTAAACTCCATAAATAACAACATAAATTTCATAAATAACATTTACACCAGAACATGTATATTCATTGCAGAAAAATATGTATTAGAAATAACAAAAATCATAAATAACATCTTGTTTTCATTAAATGAACATGAACATGTACATTATGACTAGAAAAACCTCATATGGTTTACATTCTCTCTATTTCCTTTTTTGACAAAATAAAATTGATAATGGATCAACTGAAGCTTTTGAGACTCTGATCAAAACAAATGGACGAAGTAAGCTCAAGGACAAGCCTAAGAGTAGTAAAAAAGTTTCTTTTACAATGGAAGAAGTAGCAGCTTGATCCATTCTTTCTATACCATGACGGATCATTCTAAGAAGCTGGTTGGCGTAAGAGGAATGTAATCAAGCGAATACCTGATCGTCTTCTCCATAGTTATCTGAATAAAAGTGGATCGCCCACTCATACTGTTAAACAAAAAAGCTTCAAATGAGAGAAAGAAGAAGGAAGAAGAAGAGAGGGAATAAAGAAGTATAATAGGGGAAAGATGAATTTGATTATTGCACCAGTATTGAGAGAAGAAGAGAAAGAAGGAAGAGGGAGGAAGAAGAGAGGAAGAGGAAAAAAATTGTTATTTAGCAACTGGTTATAGGAGGGATAAATTAGTCATTTCATTAAAAAATATAATTACAAATAAAGTCTTTAAGCCTTCAAAATAATTTTAAATTTTATTAAGTTTTATCTGTAAAATTCTTTGAAAAACATAATTACAAATGAAGTTTTTAAGTCCTCAAAATAATTTTAAATTTTATTAAGTTTTATCTGTAAAATTTTTTAAAAAAATATAATTACAAATGAAATCTTTAAGCCCTCAAAATAATTTTAAATTTTATTAGATTTTATTTGTAAAATTCTTGTTTTTAAGAAGGGCTTAATGCCATTTTCCCTTAAATTAATCAAGAAGAAAGAGATCAAGTGACAGCCAGGGAGCTATCGGAGTTTCGATATTTTCAACGCAGGGGAAGGACTAAGCGGGAAAACAATCCCCCACCTTTTTGTTGATTGATTGAGATGTTTGATGATGTGATCCCAGGGCTATAGATTTAACAAGCTTGCATCGAGAAATTATGTAATTATATAATAGTAAAGCTTAGCTAATTTGGTTCAGGGCCGTCCGATCTTCCAGATGGAGAGAGACGAGCTGTCCATGGTTTCAGCTGCTGTGCTCGTGCCAGAGAAATTTACCTAAGGAGCGCAAAAAGGTGTAATCATGGTGGTTGAGACCATGTCTAGAAGTTAAGAAAGCCTTGCTTGGAGATGCAATTACGAGATCTAATGGAAGGGCAAGCTTGCCAAGCTTCTATTGTGTCAGTTCAATTCTCTCCATGGATTAACTTAAATGTTAATTTCAGTACTTTAAAAAACGAACAAAACGGAACGAAACGAAACAGTCATTAATCTTGTATAAACCACGGGGTCCACATAGAGGCTAAATAATTAACCATGGGAATGAGTACGCACGGTATTCATGTGGCTGTGTGCGCGCCCCTCACTGTAATTACGCTCTACGACGCCGTATTCTGATTATTGATCGGCCAGATGCATGATTTGATAATATTCATCGCGACTTCAAAGTATACGAGTCATGAGAAGCGTAACTGCCATTAAAATATATATATATATATATATATATATCCAATTAGGCAGTAATACGAATCCGAGTGTCGATTTTATTTGGAATTAATTTACTCGAAAGGGTTCTATCTATGTGATGTGATCACATGCACATGATTAAGCAGCACACATTGTAAAAAGTAAAAAGAAAGTGAAAAGTAAACATCACGAGATGGGGGTGACAGAGAGGGACCAAAAAGGCCGTACGGGTTTGACAAAAAAGGGTTAAAAAGTGGGAGGTGGTTGTCTTGTGAAAAAACAAGAACGAAATTACCAGGAAGCGGCACGTGAACAGGAGAATTTTTGTATCATTGTGTGGTCACTTCGAGAACGATACGATCTGAGGTTGTCAGTCAGCGACGGGTGAGCGCCATTTTGGTAACTTCATCCCCCTCCAGGCGGCTCCCTCTTACCTCAGTGGCACTCTTGTGGTTTTCCTCACCGCACGAGGCTAACCTGGGAACATCGCCCCAAGTACAGACAATTTCTGTATCCCTCTAATAAACCAGCGTCAAGTATGTGGATTCCCCATAACACCCTCGCCCATATTTTCATTCCCTAGTCAACCAAATACTTTGGTTGGCGCCATTGCTCACCCCGTCATGTGCCTCGTTTTCTACAACCATCTCATTCCAAACATCTAAATCAAACCCAGACAAGAAAATAGTAAATGATTCTTAAATTGCTACTTTAATTATTAAAATTTGAATATGTTGGTGTTTGAAAAGTGGGTGTGGGTTATAGCGTGACTCATGAGCAGTGAAATTTATTAAACTTTTTTAATTTCCGTTTAAACGAGAAATTAAGTGAGAGGCTACCCGTGACCCAATAAAAAAGAGAGGGAGGGAAAATGAGATGAATGATTAACCCAAATGATCGATTTAAAAAAGAGAGCGGGTATTATCATTTCAGGCATTTACCGACCCATGATATAATGCTAAGCAATTAATGCTGTTTAATTAAATGAGAAAAATGACACCGGGGGGGGTAATATCGAAGAAAGGCAGGGGTATGTGTAAAGGTCAAGATAGAGGTATGCCCTAGAGAAATATATTATTGCTAACTGCAACTATTATTATTATTTTAACAAAGTGCAAATCCAAAGCCTGGTTGTTGTATTCTTGTGGCAGCAAGAAGTATTGTCTATTGGGGGCACACCATAAAAGGAGGAGAGTTTCCTGGCATTTGTCTTCCTCTATTTGCACAAATCCCATCTGTTGGGTTTCATTTTTCATGGCTTTTTCAAGTAATAACTTGTTTTGAGGGAGCAGGAAGAAGCTAGGAAACACTAGCCTTGCTGCTGGCTGAGAGAGGGAGAGAGAAATCAAGGGAAGGGGAAGGATTTTTACATTATTAGATAGCTTCATCAATGTCAAACATCACGAGCCGTGACAGTGGGAGTTTCTCCCCAGAGAATACCAGAGAAGATGCAGTTATTAAACAGCATCCTCATCGTCATCACTTTCACAGTTCGGGTTCTCTTACTTCAACCACCACTAACAGCAACGGTTCCAATGCCAATTCCCAGCTGCCTCCTCCTCCTCCTCCTCCTAAGAAGAAAAGAAGCCTCCCAGGAAATCCTGGTAATTTTCATTATTATTTTCCTCCCTTAATTTGTTTCTCTCAAGTATATACACCGTATTCTACTTTTGGTTTTGACTTTTAATTCTCCTCTTGAATGAATTTTAATAATTAAATCATGAACGGCGGCTGAATTGTTGATTGTTACTTTAATATATACCATACTGTAAGTTATAATAAACCTCCAAATCTCACTCAGAAGGACTCTTTGGCTGATCGATGATTCTGAACGTTGTGGAATGCAGTCATAGATAATTTTATTGTACGTGTGTGTGTGTGTGTGTGTGTGTGTGTGAATATATGTACTTTTCTGCTGAAAAGCTAAATTGTGATAAATAAAAGAGTAAGAACTGATCTCCCCAGAAGGAGTGCATAGGGTTTGCAGAATTTCTACTCCTCGAGCCGGAATTAAGAAGGATGTGGCCGGGATGTTTTAAGCCAAAAATGCATAGAGAAACTATTTCATGATGAATTATTGGTGCCTTGTTTGTTAGTAGTCGAAGTAGCTCAATTATTGTCTGGAATTCACAATCATTGCTGCTCACTGTTCATCTCTCCCCTTTTAGCTTCCTTTTTATGTTTCACCAGAGTTTCAGAAATCAAAGCACCGCACGCGTTAACACACAAATGTATGTGTATGTATATATGCAAATGTCTTTGAAAATCAAGCCTCTCGCCTCTCTCTCTACGCTAGCTCGTGTGAGTGCTCTTGCCTGTGTGTTTTGTATTTCCTTGTCCGTATGTGGGTGTGTCAAATTGAAGGGCGGTGGGGGAGACCGGGGCAGAGATAGAGACTTTGGATTTTATTCATCTACTCTTATCTTATATATGTGTCTGGTTTGTACTTACGGATCGACTGAGATTCAGATATATCGCATTTAACTTAATGACCTCATTCATGTATCTTCCCAAAGGATGGGTCTCACCGCATGATCAGCTTTTTCATTTGTCACTTTATTCATAAATTGGACAGTACCAAACATAAAAATCACTACTTTTTTTAAATTGTGGGTTTGTGTGTGCGCTGTGGCGTGCAGATCCAAGTGCTGAAGTGATTGCTCTATCACCGAACACCCTGATGGCGAGAAACCGATTCGTGTGTGAAATCTGCAACAAAGGATTCCAAAGGGATCAGAACCTGCAATTGCACCGGAGAGGCCATAACCTGCCATGGAAGCTTAAACAGAGGCCGACCACAGAGGTTCGAAAGCGTGTTTATGTTTGTCCAGAGCCTTCGTGCGTCCACCATAACCCAGCACGAGCACTGGGTGACCTTACTGGCATTAAGAAACATTTCTCAAGAAAACATGGCGAGAAGAAATGGAAGTGCGAAAAGTGCTCTAAGAGATACGCAGTCCAATCCGACTGGAAAGCCCATTCTAAGATCTGTGGCACTAGGGAATACAAATGTGACTGTGGCACCATCTTCTCCAGGTTCATCACAAAATCATCAATGAATTCCAACTTCTAATATGCATGTGCAGTTAGGTCCTCGATGAAGCTTTCTGATTCTAACTATATCCGCGGCACCATATGTGCGTCACGTACTTTTTAGTCAGAGTCGTTGTCTAATATAATCTCTTAGATGGGCCCTTCATCATAAAACATTAACAAGAAGAAATCAGAACCTATACAATATTCCATGCATGCCGTATGAGGAAAAAATAATTAAGGTGCTTACATACATACATACATACAGACATATATATATATATACACACATACATATTTTTTAGTCTTGAATAAATAACTCACTGGTTCGTTGTGTGTACTCATTTATCGGTGCAGAAGAGATAGCTTTATCACCCATAGAGCTTTCTGTGACGCGTTGGCCGAGGAGAATAATAAAGCCAACAATGAAGGACTGCTAGGGCCAAAATTATTGGGTCCAAATTCAAACTCACAAGGTCAACATCAAATCCCAAGTCTCGTTTCTTCAATGCCAATCAACACCAACTTCAACCCACAAAACGGGACGCCCCACTTTGACCACCCCGATGAAATTAAGCATCCAGTATCTCTCCTTCATCAGGAGCTCGTAGAATTTCCAGCAAAGCCATTCAACTGCATGGCAGGAAGCGTATTCGCAAGAAGCCACAGCTCCTGTCCATCACTTCAACTGGGATCAAATAATTCCCTGAGCATGTTGGAAGAGAACGAGCACCAACCAGGCGGATCAGTCCACATGTCAGCCACGGCATTGTTGCAGAAAGCAGCTCAAATGGGAGCAACTATAAGTAACGGTGCTAACAGCTCTTGCATGGCACCCTCGTCATTTGGGAATAATAATGACCACCACCTGAGCAGTGGACAATCTTTTAATATTCCATCATCTCAGTATTTCAGCGGAAATAATAGCTTTGGGATGAACAGTGTGGATATGTTCAATGCTATATTGGACCAAAGCAAGGCGCTATCGGAGATGATAGAGCAGAATAGTCGAAGCAGTAATAACATGAACAACAACGGAGTTTTGCATGGTGCCAGTAAAGGAGGTGGAGATGTGTTGACTCTGGACTTGTTGGGGATGGGAGGAGGGGGACGCGGTGCGCACGATGCCTTTCTATGGCGCCAAGCAGGCTGAAAAGGCTGCAACTTCTATAGGCCACGCAGGCTTTGAATCATTTGGATTAACTTTTATATTCACTTTAGTCCTCCATATATTTCTCCGTCCTCCCTCTCCCCGAACCCCTTTCCCTTAGAATATAAATCGTGGAAGCCAGTGATGAGTACAACAGAACTGAAATGACAAGTTCAAAACATGGACGCATAGCTATTCTGATACTTCATAAAAAAGGGCCAAAATGGCTCGATCAAATGAAGCACTGACCCTTATCATTAACTACAGACAGCAAAGAATGATGACCGCACATACCGGATAAGCTCTCTCCCAGAGTCACAACCACACAAAATCAGAATCTGCCACTTCATCGCTAATAATTTCTATTTTTCGTGAGATGATAATTTAGTAAGTTTTTATTTTGTCCCCCGGATGAATTGAGCCGACGAATAAATTGATTTGCGTCCAACATTGACGATGCTTGTTAGTGGCCTCTAAACAATAAAATAATCAAAGACATTCGCGCAAATCATGGCATTGCAAGCCAGCTTCCACGCGTGCACTCGACTTCACGTGGCAAAATGTTCGGGTGATCGAGAAGAGAGTTTGAAAGCGCGGTCCCCGGCGGAGGAATTTGCACCGTTAGCGATGACATTCCAGCGGCGGCTCCTCGTGGGCGTTGGGTCGGCTTCACTCGTGGCCGTAGGCGCCAACTTCGGCGGAATTACCAGTTTTCTTCTGGGGTTATCGCCGGAGATTGGCCGGAACCTTAAGCTCGACGTCGTTTATCCCATCGACGGCTACAATCGCTGCATTGACACAAACGAAGGATTCGGTCGGTAATTAACTTCTTCCACGAACATTGTATTTCACTTAGATAATTAGTAATAGATCACAAGAAGAGGGGGAAAAATCGTGACTGGATTGGTGACTTCGAGTTTTCGATGCGAATGACAGAATTCATATACCCAGCAAACTGGGTGGGAGATCAGACGCTACTATACCGAGCAGCCAAGAAAAAAGAATTGGAACGATCATTGGATCCGCCTCCCCTCAATGGTCGGCGCCGTCCTAATATCAGTGAACCGGTTGTCGCATTCGGTCCTCCCGGTTCAACCGGCGAACTCAATGTCAGTGTCATTGTGTCGCCGGTGCCTCAAGACTTCTCGTGAGTAATCAGCAACTATTAGCGATGAGTTACTAAATGAGCAAACTTGTGCGGGAATTGCGAATAATAATCCTTTCATGTTTGCTCGTCTAAACAAGGATCGAAGCATTTGGAGGGCCAGAGGAGGTGGGTGAAGCTGTGATTCGGAGCATAACGGAATCGACGCAACGCCCAGACGTAAAGGGAAGTTTGATAAAAGCAAGCGTGAGAGAGGATTTTCCGAGGAAAGCAAAGTACTACGAACTGGAGTTTGGAGTGGCGAGTCCTTCGTTTCGGCGGCACAACGTAGCTGTATGTTGCGCTGCTGCTGGGAGGCTCTTCACTCTAAATGCTCAGGCACCTGAATCGGTCTGGCCGGCTTTGCAATCAAGTTTCTATCGCATTGCTCACTCATTCACCCTCACGGCTTAGGGCTCCAATCACACATATGCTATAATTTATCCACAAAGTGAATTTAACACTATTATCTCATGAAATTGGAAATTTGCATTACAATCTATCCACGTTTGCTCACATTCTAGTAAGAATACAATTCCCAAGATCATGCAATAGTATGCTTACATAAAGATGATTTTTCTTCGCGGACAACCAACCACCGTCAAACCAGTATTTGAATTCCATGGCAACTGGCAGCAAACAGAGACCAAAGTGAGACCATTTCAAATTTTGAATGTCTTGTATTGGAATGACGTAGCCTGAATTCAACCATCATTATCAGCCAAAACGCAAGCAGAAAGTAGCCCTTGCCTATATCGTGTTTCCTTTCCTTTCCTATCTATATAAAGTACAGTTTGTGATCGCTCATATGCACGTTTCACCAGTCCGTAGTCTGTAACCATCATGCACGTTGGATGATTCTTTTGCCCAACATTAGATGACTGGATACATGTTAAAATATATTCAGAAATATTATCATCATCTGTAATATAGCTTACACCGACTCAATTGCCAAATGGCGTGTATGCTCAGGCACAAGAAATCTGTCTTCGCTTAACCATCTTCTCGTAGTTCTCAGCAACCATTGCAGTCAGATTGGGATCCCCAAATCCAATCTCTGCACCAAGTCTGAGGCAGAAATGCAGAACAACAGTTAAGCACTCATACTATTTATTTAAAAGCATAGGAAAAGGGAGGTGAAAATATTGGGTCAATAATTTTCATAATGAATCAATGAATAACATGAGCAAACCAATATAACGTTTATGTCTAGAAATAAGTAACAAACTCATTTTCTATTTCAAGGGATCAAATTTTTATTTGAAAAAAAAAAAAGATATTGAATGTGGGGAAAGGGTTGAGTGTATCGAGAGAAAACTTGGGCAAATGCGAACAAACATGTCAAATTTGCATACTTTGGGTCAAGAACGAGTTTCTGAACTTCTTTGATGGCTGAACTTGCTGCATAAAGAGATATCTTCCCAACCTGCATTAATGTCCGAGAGAACGCCAACAAACTATACTTAGGGGAGGCGCAAAAATTAAATGGATCTCAAGCAATTCAGCAACAAACTGTAAGGATCGGTAATGAAAAGAAGACGAACTAAATTTTGCCCCAAAAGATAAAGCAAAGAAAGGGGACCAGATTTTTTAAAAAAAAAAAACATGTAGCATTTTCTCTCTACCGACCTCCAATACTTGAAGCTTGACTTCATGTTCATTTGGCAGACAGCGGACATCCTCAGCCAATCTCACAGCCTCCCCCAGGCTTTCCGGTGATAAGAAATCAAGGCCAAGCTGAACGGTGGACTGAAATTTACATAATGTGGAAACGTTCACTGGCATTACAAATGTAATAAGAAAGAATCTTTTAAACAAACAAGTTTCCATTTTGGTTTCTCAAAAAGGTATCGTGACACTTCAAGTGAATTTAGGTCAGTTTGTTCAAAAAGGTAAATACAAACCAAAGTAGAATCTCTTTTGCCAAGATGAGGTGAACTCAATTTTTCTAAAAGATGAATTCTGGAAAAAAAAAATAATTAATTAAAAGAATTATTTGCCGTTTTTGGTTATCAAAAACTTTACGATATACTAGATTATATTAATCATAGAAGTCTATTAGACAAGGTCAACCAACAATAACTCTCATCTTTTGATCGTTTCCCTTTTACTAACAGATAGTATCCTTGATTCTAGCAGATGGGGAAAAAATTGCAGGGCAGCAATTAAAAAAAAAAAAAAAAAAACCTATAGTGAAAAATGATCTCACCTGAATATTCCTTGCTTGGAAAGGGCACCCTGCAGGAACAAATACAGCTTCCCCCACACACTGTTCAAATGACCATGGCTCCACCCCTATGTACGAAGATATCCATCACATTAAAATGAAGAAAGAAAGATAAAATAAGAATTTTACAATTCTTCAGAAATTTATATGCAGGCTCCATTACTTCAAATCATAATGATTGACAGTACAGGCAACATCACCAATTAGATTCCAGCTACAGACAGCATTCATTCAGATATCAATTAGATCACCTCAATCTAGTCTAGCACATACACTAGCTATTCCCTATCATGCTGAGTGCAGGATTTGTCAGCCTAGCAGTCCCTATCTATCTCTTAATAATAACTCAATAGAGAAAGCATACAATCTTACCAAATTCTTCCTTCAACTTCCCTTTATGGTGTTTGTTAAGACAAATAACTCCATCATAAAGAGGCCTTGTAACCTTCAATCCAAAGAGTGCAGTGAGCAATACTATCAAAAAACCTATATCCAGAGATCAGGTAGCTGACAAATGAAACCACTAAAGAAGAAAGAAATATAAGGTTTCAATACAGACTTACAAATTTATTTACTATATCATCTGGACGCCCAAATTGTTTCCAATGTGTTTTTAGATATTCAGTCAGCTTTGGAACATCCTGCCGTCGAAAGACATCCCAAAGAACTCCAGGAGCTGTTTTGCCCGAGGCATCTCCATCTCTGACTGGAAGTTCAGAATTGATCATATCCCCTTCAGCACTAGAATAATTTTCAAACCCTTCATCGATAATGGATGTTTTCTCATTTGAAGCCAAGTCCAATCCATTTCTTTCTGTGCCAAGTGATGAATCAACTGGACTGCCCACTGAACACACTTGTGGATCCACAGGAAATTCACTTGCATCAGATGATGTCTGTACCTTTTCACTTTCTGTTCCCTGCCAGTTCTTCAGCTTCACTTCACTTGTATGGACCAAGAGGTAGACCTGATCAAACTCAGCAAGTGTCAGACAATTATCAGTTACTTTGCCCGTAGCCCATTTATCTCTCTCTCTCGCTCTTTTTGAATAAATCAAAACTCCATTATTGATTGTTTATTTCACTCTAGAAAGACATTAAAAAGAAACAGAGGTATATAAATGGTAACATCATTTATTGGTGTTTAGGTATCCTTTGCACAAGTCCAGGGGCTTTAAATTCAAACAGCACAGCAAAAATTTTGATGCCACAAAATGATAGATGCATAAACTCTGACAGAAACACTATCAGAGATAAACTAATAATTTAACATCAAATTTAAATTTCGAAAGCATTCAAAATCAGAAAAAAAGATGATGATTTGCATGTCTGGGTCCCTAGATTGTCGTAAATTATAGCAATTTAATTAGTTTTCCACTCCAACTCAACAATGGAAAAGAAAGAAAGTAGTGAATAACGACCAGTTCTTATCTCTAAGATAAACAACAAAGAACATACCATGTCACGCATATTGAAGTGGAGATTGGTCACTGAGTCACCACTACCAAGTTCCTCGTTGATCCCATAGGATATATAAATCTTGGGTCCTACATCATTCTGCAAGGAGTAATGAGGCAATTTAGCCGCAACATTAAGAAGGCCCCATTTTGAGTGAATATATTCAAGTAAAGGCAGTTTGCTGATAAATTCAGGTCTTTGTTGCAACAAAAATTCTTCAGATGCACTGGGTGAAGGCCAATCTTTCAACTTCAATAATTGTGGCCAGCCATTTTCATGGGTACGGCCCTCAAAGTATCCTTTCATAAATTCATTAAGTTCGATATCTATCTGCAACAAGCAAGAAAAGCAGAAATCAACACTATCGACAAAACTGATTAACCAATAAATAAACAATACAAGAAACAACCCCTACAATCTTGACCATCAAATAAATGTGTACCTCTGACCAGGCTAAACAATCCATGGCCTTAACCACTCTGTTCTCAACTTCTTTCATTTTCTCATCTGCTGTCTCTCGAATCCCTCTCCATATGGCCAATGGATCCCAGCTTGATGACATATCAAATACTTGCTTAACAATAATTGGTTCACCATTTTTCCAGTGCTTTCTAAAATTTCCTATCCCATCAGTTTTGAGATCTTCAGATGGTGGACAGTACAGATAGTTATCATCACTGGCCTCCCTGTGAGAAGATTGGCAAAGCTTGGCATTCAACTTGGTTTCTGATTCTCCAACTTCACTAATCTGGCAGCCACTAACCATCTCCTCCACATTTTTCACCAATTTTGCAACCCAATTCATCTTGAAGATGCGGCTTAAATTCAATGGTGAATAACCACAGCCACCATATTTCTTTGGGGGGCATGGGATACTACCATCACTGTTGGATCTCCAATCAGGAAACTTATATAGCAAATTCTGATTTGAAAGTTTTGCTTCATCTGTTGGAGTTACCTTTTCTGGATTTACATTTGCTTCTCGAAGATCTCGACAGCAATTAAGGCATAAATCATACGTACAATTTGGGCAATGTCGGTGATAATCAGTAATGGGTATCCGACAGAAATTACTGCCAGACAACAAATCAAACAAATTTAAAAAAAAATAATGATCTGTACTAACTCTACACAAGGAAATACATGATGCTCAGTTCCATTAAATCCACCAATTATAAGAAACAAAAATTTTCACAAAACATATATATGTAGTAAAACTTAATAGGTTCTTGATTTACCAGCACATTTGCTCATCTGCATTCAGTTTCATCCTAGGAAGATCCATTTCAATCCCTGGAGAAGATAACATTATAGCAAAATTGTCAAAAACAAATTTTCAAACAAACATGAAGACACATCACACATCTTACCACGCAACTTCTTTTCTAGTTCAACTTCATAACACTGCTCATGATGGATCTGCTTTACCACAGGAAGTACTGATGACAGCAGCAAGTGGAGATACTGTAACTTGTCTAGAACAGGTATCTCCCGAATCCGAACCTAAAACTCCAAAAGAAAAAAGCTAAGAACCAAATGTCAAAGGAACTGTGCACGATGAATTTCAGAGGCATGCTTCACTGGACAGCATAATATAACAGTTAAAGTACCTTTATTGAATTATCACCGCGTAAGCAAACTTTGCAATTACAGGTGCCACGGCAGGCAGGACAAGTCCTCTGAATTTCATCCAATGACATGTCTGAGTACCTAAAATTAAGGAAGTCATAAGAGTAAATACTCCATATAAAACAAAATTTATAACTAACAAATGGGGTGTCTTCACCAGTATTATATGCCCACCATGTTAATATACA